TTCATCATCTCTCCTGTCAATAGCTGTTGGGCTAGAGCGAGTTCGTTTCATTTGGCTGCCTCTCGCTTCCCCTAAGCGGCGAGAGGGCAAACGGTGCCAGTGCCCCCGTGCAGCACGGCGAGCCCCGCACCACGGTGCTGCGGCGCAGCGCCCGGCACCAACGCGCATCGCGGCTGCGCTAGCTCCCACCCTACCAAAGGGAGCGACGAGCTTGGAGTTCAGCGCCCACCTCTCTCTTTCTTATCTGCGTGGAATTTAAAGTCCCCATAACTCAACAGCAAATGATACTCGTTTTTTAGAAGGTCGCTGTAGCCAGTGGCTGATCCCGTTACACATTCTTAGCCCCTTAATGTGTTGCTTTCCCATATGGGTATGTTATCCTTTACCATTTGCCAGCGTGGGCCTGGGAGTGGAGCAAAAGAGGAGGGAAATGAGGAGACCCAACGTGCCGTGCGGGGTCACACCTTGCCACATGTACGCACTGGGGCCACCAGTGCCACACACGCAAGCACACGCATGGATTTCTCATTCCCCAGGAGATACCAGCGACCGCTCATATTTTACATGACTGCTAGGTTTAAAACAGCATCAGGGATGGGACAAACCACCACAATTTGGGCATTTTCAGTCTCAAAGACAGACTGGACCTTGGAGCTTTGCCAGTGCTGTGCTGCTGGTGAGGCCATTCCCTACCGAATCTGCTAATCCTCCGTGACGGCCTTCCCAGCTCACAAGGAGCTGGGCTCCCAACACCACAGGGAGACATCTAGAAGAGCATTCCTCTTTCTCACAGTATTTTCCTTCCAGTGTTCCTGCAGTCCTTCATATAGCAGGAAGAGGCTATACAGGCATCTAACGATACTGCACCTTAGCCAAAATCCAGAGAGATGGGGAGGAAGAGGGACGGGTGTTCACGTGCCCTAGGAGCATTTCCATTGATTGGCTCTAGGGCTCCAAACATATCTGCCCTTAGGGAACACTAGGCAGAATTTATACATGAACAGGAAGGGAAAAAAATGTGGCAACAGCAATAGGACAAACACAGTTTTCATTAGCCAAGCTCCAGTTTTAAAGCCACTGGTAATGAGAATAGACTTATCTGTCCAGTAAGTTCTGTTCTTTTCTTCTTCTTCTTCTTCTTTTTTTTTTCAGAAGAAAAATGGGCTTATTTTATTTTTAGGGCCTAATTTGATCTGATTAAAAAAAAGATTTCACTTTACAGAACTGTTGAACCATGTCTGATTTCAGGATCATTAGTGGCATTTACAACCAAACTACGATAAGGATAGAGAGGCTGCTAAAACCATCTGTGCTGTTATTTGTTTGCTAGAAACTGATGTTTTACTTTAAAATTCTAACAAAAAACACAGCATATATGCCATATCACAAATAAATCAATAAATAAAAACATTTGAAGCCTCAAATCTTAGAGTCTATTGCAAGTTTTCCAGTAAAGTACTTATATTTGCGCATAGATTTTTATCTACCTAATCTATGCACCCAAATTCCACATGGATGTGCAAACTTTACATTTACTTGCAAAAAAATGACCAGTTTATCAGCTAAGAAGCCATGCATGTAAATAAATGTCATATGCCTACACAGTAAACATCTGTGTGCAAATACTAGGCATATCATTTTCAAACCTGGTCCTAAAATTTTATCAAAATCAGTATCAAGATGAAGCTAGACTATAAAACAGTCAAGACTGATTTTTTTTCTGTTAAGCAGTTTCCTCAGTGCAGCCTCAGTGAGCAGAGGAGCTTTTCCAGAGTATCTGACCCTGCTTGCTCCACTAAAGTAAAACACAAATATTAAAGATCAAGCCCATTTTTTCCATACATGAACTCATCCAATAATTTTTATATGATGCACCACATTCTACTAATGAGTAAGAGTTATCGCTGCCTTCAAAGAGGCTAATATGAAGCCAGCTGAGTGTTCTCTGTCCAGATATTCCCATGTCTAAGTGTGATTAGCACTGTCTTGTCAAATTTAGCTCTAAGCCATTTGTGAACATCTTCTTTGTTTATAGTAGCACAGTCGGCTCTGCACAGACCTCTGTGTTTGCTCTCCTGTGTATCCTATTAACAGTGCATTACATTTCAAGATGTCATGCTGTAGAAAGCCTCAAAAGCACTTTTAATCAATCCCTACCAAATCAAGTGATTTAATTTTCCTATGGATAAATCCTACTTGATATACATTCTAAGAAAACTAAATTGCGCTTTTGATTATACTGCTGTAATTCCACAGTGATTGTGCAAGAATTATTTGCACTGCATTGGAAATAGCTCTGTTGTGATTATACAACAGTCCCTACAAACACTGAAGCGTGGCTAAGCAGAATTGAACCCTGTAGGTTTTCATGTATGGCCTGCTTGGAAAGAGTCAGGTGAAAATAAATAAATCTACATTAATCCTGAGAGAAAGTTTCAAGCAGCTGAAATTTGATAGAATGCCTAGACATTTTTTTGTTGCATAAAGTAACTTTAAAATATTAAGATAAAAATAATAAGGGTTTGTCGCTACCAGACTTTCTGTTGAATTCAAAACTGTGCTTTCCACTGCTATTTTCCAAAAAAAAAGAAAAAGATTGTTAACAGTGCTCTATCAATCCAGCGTGACCAGTCTATATAACAAGGTCACTTGGATTATGGCAAAATGTTAGATTCTCTTATTTCCGTGGCATCAATGACAATAAAGTATCATTGCAAATACAGATATAGGTATTTCTCTCAATGAATAGGACTGCATTACTAATCTACAAGGCCAAGAGGAGTCATTTAGTGTGAAAATATGCAGAGGAATAACAGCTGTTAGTCATTATTTTCTCCTTATCCTTTCAACACCTCTGCTTCAGTTTGTTTTCTAAGGGGGGGTCAGTCACACACTCTTCTTAGGACATTTTCTCATTTGGGGCAGGTACCAAGAAGAATTCTAAAACAATTCCCTGGCCAAAGACAATCCTTGGTAATTTCTTCCCTTGCCGCTCTTACTGTAGATGTTTGTGCCTTATAAAACAAACAATGTTGCCGTGGTGCTGAAATGTGCTAATATGATGGATGACATTTCTGATTTTTGTTAGACAACCAACTTAGCCTTTATATTTCGTGTACAGTCTGTGTTATATTTTTTGAAAAAGAAATGCCACCTGCGGAAGTTACTGCTCTCACCTCGTTTAGGCAAAAGAAGAATCGGTATCATTTTTAAACACTTATTTTACAGTTTAACTCCCTAGACAATGTTTCACACTAACCATTTGGAAATAGAAGAAAAATTGATAGTATCTGCTTATGATCAAGCTCGTCTTATCGTGCAAGTTATTTCTCCATTTCCTATTCTCTATTTCCCTTCATCTGTAAGATGAGCATTTACCAGGAGTCTGAGCCTTTTTGCTCACTCCGATTTTAATTAATCTGACTCTATTCCATAGGCAAGAAAAAAAATGCAGACAACTTTATATATCATTACATATTAGCTATTTTTTTTCTTTTAGAAAATAGACTTTTCCATCTACTCTTCTTTACTCCTCTTTTATAGTAAGAGGTTGTTTTTCTTCAGAAAGGCAATTCAGTCTCCATCTGTTCTTGACATGATCCTGGCATATTTAATCAAGTTTATTATGTTCCCACACAACTTCTAATATGTGCCGTTTTTCACAAGCAGCACTGCCAGTGCTGCTCTCCGCTTAGGGAACTGGATTTTGCTGAAGATACTGTGGAGAAGGCACAAGGAACCAGCTACCTGCAGCGCTAAGGCAGGCACTAAGCTCAAGCAGGCCAAAAACTGTACCAGAGGGTACAAGGACACGGCCTTGGAGTGAGTCATGGCTCTTTAGTGGGCCAGGAAATTAATTGCGTTGGCAATGTGACTTCCCAATCTAGACCACCCTGAGCCTGCTATCCTTCCTGGCTTCCCCAGGGCTGTGATAAGGATTTATTAGTTCCTTTACATGATCTCTACCTCAGTTTCTGCTCTTCTCTGGACACATGAGAGATCGCAACCTCAAAAAAGAAAAAAAAAAAAAAAAAGCTAAGAAATGAGAAATAAAAATAAACTTTCACAAGCTCTCTAAATACTGGCAACTGGGGAAATGGCTTGAGTTTGGCCCAAGCCACGCGCACAAGGGAACAACATCTGATGCTGGTGGTGGAATAAGTTACCAAGACATTACCAAATTATCATTAAATTAGCAAGATCACATGAAAACAAAAATATCACGGAGTGTACTGGGAGGTGACACCTGAGGAAACGGCTGCCACAGGCACCACCTC